CCTGGCCAGGATCAACTAGAGCGAGCTCCCCGGCAAGTACATGGTATGGAGTTACCAGTTCATACTGTACCCAAGGGTGATGTGGCCTCTGAAGATGAGTGAAGTCTCCTCGTCCGTGGTGGACAAGATGGATAGGCTGGCAAACTCCAGTTCATCAGGAAGTGGCTGGGACTGCCAAGATGCCTATCAGATGTAGGCCTCTTTGGCAGAGATGCACTGCAGCTGGTACTGCGATCCATAGGTCTGTGCTACAAACGGGAGAAGGCCCGGATGATGCTGGAGCTGGAGCTGAGGGATTCCACGGATCAACTGGTGAGAGCAGCTGCCCCCCCAAGTACGAACAGGGAGAAAGTGGAAAGCCCAGGAAGAGGTGGACAGGGTGATCAGCAGACTGAAACACTGTGAGGTAGTCGGCAGTGTCCAGGAGGGCCGAGCAGACCTTGGATGGAGCAAGACCACCCTCTTCTGGTCAAAGGCATCAAAAGAAGAGCAGGAAGGTGTTACAGACAGGCTCCTGGCATGGACTGATATGTGGAAGATCCCCCAGGCCAGGCTCAGCTTCCTGATCAGGTCGTCCTACGATACCCTGCCTTGTCCCAGAAATCTCCACCTGTGGTTTGGTGCGGAAGAGTCCTGTGCTCTGTGCACCACTGGCAATGCAAGCGTCCAGCATATCTTATCAGGCTGTAAGACCGCATTGTCCCAAGGCTGCTACAGGTGGCGTCATGACCTGGTGTTAAGGAAGCTGGCAGAGGTGGCATAGTCATGCAGACAAGAGGCCAACAACAGACCTTCCACCTCAGCAAAACCTTTGAGATACAGTTTGCAAGGGTTTGAGAGAACGCCAACCTTCCTTGCCAGAGAGTACCACCAACAGTACTCTCACCAGGCAGCGAGTGGTCGATGAGGGTAGACCTGGGGAGGCAGCTCCAATTCCCCAGGGAGATCACAGAAACTTTCCTCTGGCCAGATCTGATCATAACCACACAGGACTATTCTGATGGTGGAGCTTACCATCCCTGACATGAGATGCACAGAAGCAGGGCGCAGTAAAGCCATTAGGGAACTGGCAGAAGAGGCAGAGAAGGGCAGCTTTTGGCTGTGGCTCAAGAGGAAAGAGGTAAGTAGGGGGCCAAACAAAGAATGACCCATTCAATTCAATGTAAATTTACCTACAATAATAAACACAATAGGCATAATTAAATAATAAACTGTAACTCTAGCGCAAAAAAGGCCACCAATCTAAGTTAGGAATCTAGCTACAATCAAGTTAGGACTCTAGTTACATGATCAACCCCAGCGGGGCCTTCCTAATGGGAGAGTGTTTAGTGATAATGGCCGAAACACTCGATGACCCCAAGGTCCACTACTGAAGATGTGTCTTTCAATAAGATGGTCAATTTATAAAAAAAACAAACAACTAATCAGGAAAAGCCATAGTCCAGTAAGCCACCCCATTCCACCCCATCCCTTGCCTCAGCCCCTTCCCATACCCTGAAGGTAAGTATAAGGATGACCCCAATAATTCCCCTGCCACAGCCCTAATCCCCACCCCGTGATCATACCAAGGAAATCACCCTTGAGGTAAGTTGGCACCACTAGTGACACTCAGGCACTAGCGGGGCCCAGGGAGGTGTTTAGATGAGCACGACAGCACAAAGGCACTGGTGGAGGGGTGTCAGGCAGCAATGCCCAGCAAGCAGACCACCAGCCTGTATTTTCATATGACTCACCATTAGTTCAGACGAGCTGTTGAGTTTCATTGTACAGGAGCCCTGAGAAATGGAAACAACAAAGCCACTTTAATTAAAGACACTTTAAAGACACTTTAATTAAAATTAAAATAAATTAATTAAAAAAAAACAAACACTAACCAGAGGAATCATGCTGTGAACCAGAGAGATGTCTTTGTTCTCTAGACGCTTCATGTATCGAACAATGTTTGTTTCTGAATGATAACTGCGACCAAAAGGACAAAAGATTATTGTCAATTTTCATTTATTTTCATTTGTCAATACCAAAATGTCCCTAAACATGTTACCGACTTCTTTGAGTTTAAAACGTTTTATTTTGCATAATATGTGTTTCTAACATGAACACAGAGACGAGTCTGATTATGGATGTAACAAAAGAAGCAGGGCTGTGTTCAGAGTGACCTGTCATAAAGCCATAAATTTGATTTATTTATCACACGTTCACATAACAGGCAACCTTATCAGTGTTTTTTTTAGGCTGTTACAGATATAGAAACCGAAGCTCTAAATATAGACAGTGGACAGTGGCAATAAAGATTAAAATTAGATCAATGTAAGTTATGAAACGAGCAGGATAAAGTCATATAATCTAGGATTGGAAACTGCAGTTACTGCATTTTCCAAAAAAATTTGCAAACCCTTAGTTATCCGGGCATTTTTAGGTTTATAACTATTAAAGATCTAAAATTAAGAATTTCAGGATTACACCAAAAGGTGGCGCTTTGACTGAAATTATCCCAATGTTACAGAAGAATGGCAACAATGACAACTGACTCGTACCAACCTGTTAAAAATCTGGTGATTCAAATACTTGCTGGTCCTCTTAAAATGACTTCCCATGATTCCTTTCACCCGCTCACCCATCTTCTCAGCCATCAGCTCCTATAAATGTGACATCACCTTAAATATTAGAGTCAATAACCTTTATTCAGGTTCCAGGAGATGCAGGTCATGAAGGAATGAAAATTTTATTTTGTCTGGAAAACAATGTTGCAGTCTGCAAGAACTTTTTGAAACAAGTGGACATGTCTCCAGGTGTGCCGTTTTTTTAATTGTGTAAAATCGTGAGGGTGATAAAATTCCATCAGGTTCAGTACAATGCTACAATGTTGTGACTTTGATCTGGAGTGTATTTTGACTCATAAAGAACAGAGCTTCAAGCGATTCCAAATCCAAGTAGATTGAGTCGACTCAGTGTCAAGTTTAGTTGCACGTGGGAGACATTATCCCACACATGTCTAAATAAATTTCAAAATCTAGGAGTTATTTGATAAATGCATTTTTGAAAAGCACATTGAACATGTTGTTATGGGACTCAGCTGTGTTTCTAGCACACATCACTATGTTCTCTCCAGTAAAGTAAATCAGTCTCTGTTATCGGCTAGTCACCCTAGGTATTGGTTAAGTGAACTTCTTTTAGTAAAAAATTCAATAAATAATAAAAATAAATACTCCGATCATTTTAAGAACATGTTGCTCATAGTATAATGAGCATCATGAATTTTTCTGCAGACAAAGATCTAAATGATGATCTTTAGGAGATTAAATGATAATCAGTGATCAACTTACAGCTGAGGATTCACACCCAAAGACCCAGAGCAGGTCGTCCAAGTCCCTCTCGGTCACCGTCTCATCCAGAGACACACCAATCTGTTAAGAGACACAAATTGACAAATGACAAAGACATATTCACTAAAGAACAGATAAGTGTCTTGTCTTACTCTCAGAGTAGAATCTTAGGTTCAGAAAGTGAGACAAAATGATTAACAGTCTGTGAAGGTTCTCTGTTATTCAGGTTAACACCAGAAACAAACTTAAGTTTCCTTCTGCAAGTCTTCATTGGCAGATGAAAGACAAAATGAGGGGCAAACAGACAAGCATCTCACCTCTCCCTCGGTGTAGACTCTCAGGTTGATGTGTTTCTGAGCTGCTCGCTCTAAGATGTCTTTGGCTGCCACGCTGCATTTAATCTTCAATGTGTCGAAGAAAATCTCACTGTGGAGGCGATGACCTGCCCTCTTCACACCTGTGAGGTGACAGTGAGTTCACAGAATTCAGTTATAACAGGAAAGAAAAACTGGCAAAAAAAAAAATCACCTTCAGCCAGGATGAGCGCTGCTGCATGTGTCCTATCGGCTATGTGTTTGAGCCCCTGAGGTCCGTGGTAAAGAGCGTACATGGCAGCCATGTTGGCAAGCAAAGCCTGGAACATTAACATCCATCAAATTAGAAATGCGTCAAGTGATTTTCCATTTTTTTTGTAGTTACATGTAAAGACAAATAGTAAGAGAAAGTGGTAAGACCTGAGCTGTACAGATATTGCTGGTTGCTTTGTCTCTGCGAATGTGCTGCTCTCTGGTCTGCAGCGCCAGGCGATACACTTCTTTACCTGCAGCATCCCTGAAACCACACAGGGCTCTGTTGAAATGTTTCTTTGTGGAGGCATTTGTTTTAACGCCTGTATCGCTCACTTACCTGGTGACACCAACCATTCTACCCGGCATCATTCTGACAAGGTTTTCCTTGACTGCAAAAAAGGCAGCGTGGGGGCCGCCGTAGCAAAGAGGTACCCCAAACCTCTGAGAACTGCCAAGAGCAACGTCTACGCCAAATTCTCCAGGAGGACGCAGGGTACAGAGGGCCAGGAGGTCAGTGGCACAGCAGGCCAGAGCCTGGAGAAACACCAGCACACATTTGGACACAGAACTTTCTGTATCCCATAGTCTTTCGTGTTTTGTACATGGTGCTGCCTCCTACCCCTCCTTTATGTGCACGGTCGACGAGCTCAGTGAAGTCCTCCACTTTGCCATCAGTGTCAGGATATTGAAAGAGAACGCCGCTAACGTTCTTACCCGAGAAATCCATCTGATGAGGAAGTTTCAGCTCTGTCTGGACACCGATGTAACTGCAACATAGCAGTCAGTGTTTTGTGTTTTGTGTGTGTGTGTGGATGTGTGTGTCTGTTTTAATGTGGGTTTGCTACATACTTGGCTCTGGTCTGCACCACAGCAATTGTCTGAGGGTGACAGCGTGGGTCGATGTAGAAAGTCTGTCTTTTGTTCTGTCTGAGGGAACATAAGAAGGGTCTCAGTAATCAGACAAGTAAATACACTTAACGTGAGACTCAACTTATAACGGTTTAGAAGTCTTTACAATTCTTGACAATTAATTCAGAGAATCTTTATTGCTCAAAATTACGTGGAGATATTTACAGTGGAAAATAAAGTTTATCCTCCCCTTCACAAAAGTCCACAAAGAAAATTAGTGATTTTCTCAAAGAGATTCTGGAGCTGCTGGGCCACTGCTGCCTCCTGTGGTCAGTTCATGCCACCAGGGTTATTTGCAGGTTGTTGTCCTCACCTACAGTCGTTCTATTTCCCATACACATATCCTTAAAGTAAAAAACTAAATAAATAAATGAATGCATGAATAACTTATTGAAACAGTTTTATGTCAGGAACACTTTTTCAGTTTATTCTAAACCTTAAAACTCATGTTCTAAAGTAGTCAGCTGACACAGAAATTGCAGTTATGTTGTGCTTTCAGTTGAAAGGGGAGGGGATTGAGTCCGATTTTAAATGGGAATTATAAATTGATACTCGCCTATGGCAGAGCTGCATGGCCTCAGCAGCCGCCGTCCCCTCATCCAGCAGGGAGGCGTTGGCGACCGGCAACCCTGTCATATCACATATCATTGTTTGGTAGTTAAGCAGCGACTCCAGACGACCTTGAGAAACCTCCGGTTGGTATGGTGTGTACTGTGTGACCCTGATAAGAAGACAGAGGGATGTGATTTTATTTGTCCACTGTGATGCGTTTGAAGAAATACATGATCAGCAAGAAATGGTCCATCCCACTACTCAGCCCCTTCCTGTGTTTCCAAGTCATAGGGCTTTACGTTAACCAATGTCAAAGTCTAGCCTCACTCACCAGCCTGAGTTCTCCAGGAGATTGCGCTGTATAGGGGGCGGTACCGAGCAGTTGTAGTAGCCCATGCCTATGTACGACTTCCACAACTTGTTTTTTGATGCAATTTTTTGCAAAGTTTCCAGGACTTCATTTTCACCTAAAATATATTCAAAGTCATAGAGAAACTTTAAGAATGGAGATTTTGTGATAAAAGACATAATGTATCTCAGGTATGTGATAATGTAATTTACAGGGAACAAAAACACAGACATTAGTCAATACATTTTGTTGAAAGTGAGGACAATTCTAAGTGGAATGTTTAATATTTATAAGTCATTATTGTGCTAGTATATATTCATTTCTAATTATAAAATAGGGAGAATAATTTATTTGGTAGTTCAGATGAACCTTTCTGGTAGAAGAGAAAAAAAGAATATTGTCCTGAAGGACTTCTTCTCAGTTGATCTCCGGTCCAAGGAGTTTCAGGGAGTGATGTTGAAATGATTTACTGTGGCTGTCCTGACTCCTTGTGTCTGTATCAATTCCACTAGAGATCTGTTTTCTTGTGCAACATTGCTCAATCCTTACAATTTCTAACGATGGCCTATACACACAGCTAGATTTCTCTTGACTCAGTATCTTTTAACAGTGTTGTGACAGTAGATGGTGACAAAACAAGAAACAGCAAGAGACTAACCTTTTTGTGAATTGGTAATTGGTAAAAGTGCAGGACAAAGTTATGTGTAAATACAGCGAGTGTTTGGTAGCTGCATTTATATCTAATTTTTATACTCTGTTAACGTTTTTATACTTTGTTAACGTTTTTATGCTAATGTAAAAAACCAACAGGATTGGACTTGAATAAAATCTGTCAGTCTGAGTTCATGTCTGTCCTGACTTTTGTTTTGCAAATATCCTTTTCTTTAATTATATTTAAATTTATATTAATTTATTTATTTATTATTAATTAATTAATTAATTAATACTTATATTTAATAATTTAACTAGGTTTGATATTGAAAATGTTCAAGCATATATTACATTTTAACATTAATTGTTTTATAGTTTAATTTGTTGGGTTGATTGTATTGACCATCAGGAGTGACTTTTGTGCAAAAGGCAATTGATTAGAGTCTTCAGTGCTGCTAATATTTATAACAATATATTGTATTGTGTTATATCTCAACTTCAAACTAGCTCATCTGTACAGTTATTAAAGATGACGCAAATGTTCAATGTTAACACCCTATGTAGCATCATAACTTCAAAATGATAATGTTTTACATTTCAAGGCATCTTCATTATTCCACAGGGTAACATGCCTGCAAAAACACTCAGGACTGTAAACCAGTTCAATGTGCTATTTTATATTTTTGTAGTGTTTGTTGACCTGTTGAGTTCATATATTATTTTTTTTATTTGCTTTGTTATCCACTTCATATGTTAATAAAATGTTGATATCTATAGTTCTATAGTTTCTGCATATGCTTTAAAACTGGCAGGTTAAAAACAATATTAAAAAAACGTGACACTAATCGAGATCGGACAATATGAAAAGAATATATTGGGATTGTTTTGTTTTTTTTGCCCTATCCCCCAGCGCTAGAAAATAGTTTAGATTTATCCTTGATCTAGTATTTTGCTGCAGTTTGGTAAGAGCAATGACCTTTAAGCTAAAGGAATTTGTAGAAACTTAATACAAACATAATGAAATTACTGTAAAAGTTGGTGAAAATGCCATGAAAACAATGTGCATGACTAAACTCTGAAACTGTGTTCAGTGTCAGAGCTTTTTTTCACAGTTTTTCAGCCTCTGTTTTTTTCTGCTGAGCCTCCGATTCCTGACGCCCTCCTCGTCTCCTAGCAACTCAAAGAATCCAGACAATACACTCAACTGAGCTCTTACAAAGTTCACTGGGGAACAGAGATGGGGTTTTCCGAGACCTTGAACGCAGCACATTCACGGGAGTGCACGACTGGGCTCTGACAGATTTTTACAGAGCATTCAAACACGACAGAGTGGAAATGTAATAACATCACCAATATGATAGTGACTTGCACATTCACAGAGTCCTACAAACAGCACATAAGAAGACACAGACCAGTACAGAGTGTGTGTACTGATACCAAAGGCTTTAAACACAGCACATTCCCTTGAAATGCAGGATGACTGCAAACAATTTTAACAACTTCCTGAGAAGCCGTAAAGCGGGCATTTATAGCACTGACAGACTAATTTGAGGCAATGCACAGCATGGAGACTGAAACATGTGAGGTGACATCTACAGTAACAATGACTCTTTTTAGGTCATGGAATAAAATATATTTACATTCTATAATGGCACAAGATGAACTTTAGACCCTCTGTCAATTGATATAATATCAGTGTATTCATCTACAGAGTCCACAAAAACATCACATTATTACAGCAAATTCAACATTTACTGGACAGTGCGTTTTACCGTGACACATCTGGAAGACTGCGTCACGTGGATGTTTAGTGTCTTTAACACAGTGCAAATGCACAGGAAATATAGTTATGAGAGTGCACTGTCCAAAGGTTCATGGTCAACTCTGTCTGTTTGTCTGTGTGCACTTGCAGGTATTTCAACGTGTGTCTACTGTTGAATGTGTCCAGTGCTGAATCATCAAAATAAAAGCTCTTCTTTTTCCAAAATGTTTGACCTTGGGCAACAACTGATTAACAGTCACATTCTCTGTGCGTATGTGTGTTCTTCTTGTAGCTGAAGTGTTAAAATATATATGACTCTTCTATATTCTAAAATCCATACGTTTTTTTCACAGTAACATGACGCATCGCTATCTAAGATCTTCAAGAAGGGAGTCTGAATGTGCATGAACTTATTGACCTTTTTGACCTTTTTTGTTCAACTGTTTCCTGCAGTGTGGAATCAATAAATTACAATCTAATCTAAAATATCACAGATAGCGAGTGCATCATGTTACTGCATGAAGGAGGAGTTACATGATGGAACAGCGGTTAGTGCTCTTGCTCTTGCATATTTTCTCTTTTGTTTGTTAAATATTGTATTATATCTCTGACTTTGGGCAGTAGTCTGAAAATGAATGCTTTGACTGCAGCTCTCCCCATGAGCCTCCAACTGTAATTCCCACTGCTATAATTTCCCAGGTTGGTATCAATAACGTCATCAATGTAAAATGATTAGTGTAGCAGGCATCATGGAACAAATGATGTAATAGGTACATGCACAAGGACTTTAGACTACTGGAACAGATCCTTGTCTCAGAACACAGTCACCACTCCTTAATCAAAAATGCCCCCTGGGGGGGTCTCTGGGCGTGACCCTTGTTAGAATGAAATGTCAATAGTGTCAAACAGTCAGTTCTAAGACATGAAGCCAAAGGTAATGGAAACATGTTCTTTGTTTTTTTTTTTTTAACTGTTTAAAAGTTAAAAAAAACATCCAGACTGTTATCAACCAAAGGTTTTAGTCTGTTATGATGGGAGAAGTTTCAGTAGACACAGCATTGGGTATATGCAGATTAATAAAGTCACCACGAGAATACAGACTTTTTTCAGGAACCTTTGTGGAATTTCTCAATAAGATAATGTCAGGAACCTTAATCTGTACCAGTTAGAAAAATAGATGGGTTTATAGTACGAGTCTGGGTTTGAAAGCTTTGTCTGCATCCTGTGTCTGGAGGATGATGAGGAGGAAACTCAAACAAGGATGGATGCTGGCTGTAAAGACAATAAACGCATTTAAAATAGCCTAAATGTGGTTGTTTGACAGATTTTTAGTCATCTGTCATCTCATTTGCTTCGCTTTGCTTACAAATTGACACACTGGCACTGATTTGTTTCACTTTACTGATTTTTCTTTTCAGCCTTAATTTAACACTTATTGGGAGCATTTTCATTTTTATCTTTGAAAAATAAATATGCCATTTAAAAAAACACTTTATTTTTTAAGTGATCAAGAAGAAAAGAAAAATCACTAACATCCCAGACCTTCATGCAGCCCACTGCTGCACCTAATTTAGGTCTGTGTGTGCTCGTGTGTAATGTCATGTGAACTAAAACCAGATTGAACTGGACTCAGAAACTTTACACAACAACAACTCCTAATATGATCAAAGGAAGAGAGCAGAGGCACGGGCATGCGCAAGTACAGGCACACTGACACAAGGGAAGTGTGTGTGTTGCTTACTGAAAGTAAAAGAAATGCATGTTTCACAGAACCGCTGCGGTTACTGTATGAGGCTGGAGCTTGTTTTATTGCTTTGTGTCAAAGTCGATCACTTACAGACTGGATCATCCATCTTCATGTTGCCCTGCAGGCGGATGGAGGACGGAACCGTTTTGTCGATCAACTGATCGATGGACTGAGGATTAAAAACAAACATTGACTGAAGAGATATAGTTGTGCAAATGTTTTTAGATAAGTCGAGTCGAAATCAGTCGAAGTTTAGTCGTTTAGTTGAGTTGGGATAACTTTCCTCTAGTCCTCACCTTAAAGCCCAGAAGGTCCAGCATCTCTTTCTTCTCCCTCTCACCTGGACCAATGTGTCTCTCTGAGAAATCATCATGTCTAGGGAAAATGCTCTCAATCCTCCGGTGGGTAGATGAGCAGGAGCTTAGCTGGCGAACAGCGGTGCCAGTACCTGAGTTCGATGAACTGGCTTTAAGCCCGCAGGCGGCAACAGCCCCTGATCCGGGTGTACGGGTCAAGAGCACACGGCTCCTGCTTGGACTCTTGGCCCAGAAGAAGCGCCAGGACTTAGCGCAGCTCTGCATTTTTCAGCGCTTCTTCTCAGCACAAATGGACCCAAAGCGTTCAGATTGGACTTTATAGTCCAGAGTTAACCAATCAGAACGCAAAGAAGGCGTGACGTGGAGGACGAGCCCCAGCTGCTCAACTTAATCTCACGTGCCGCTAGAAAGGTGAACTCCAACTTATTACGATTAAAGTTCGAATAAACTAAAATAAGGAGCAACCCAGACTCATTTGTATTGTCATTAAATTGTTGTTGAAAATGAAGTTGACGTGGTTTTTTTTGTTTGTGTGGTGGGTCAAAACCATGCCTAGTTTAGTAGGTTAGTTTAGGTTCCATCTGACCCCAGAGGGATGAAGCTATAAAATAAAATATTAATTACTTGAACAAAAGATCATTTGACAACATTAACAGGAAGTAGATTTGAATTTAACGATTTAATGTGTTTAAGTAGTGGCTCTTTCTTTGAATTCATTGTCATTGTTGTGTTTCACATATTTAATTAATTCTATTTTATTATGTTTCTTTTTACCCAAATTTTGGCCAAAATGTCATCGGAACAAAAACATCACTGCAGACATTGTCCTAATCCATCTGTTTCTCTAGTGACAGTAGTGTATATAACAGTTTACAAAATAACTGTTATATACAGTTATATAACTGTTATTTATATAACTGTTATTTATATAATAACAGTTATGTAACAGTTATTATACACTCTGCGCTTATAAAATAACAGTTTTATTTTGTAACAAATAAAACCGTTATTTTCCCCATTAGTGAACAGTCCTTCATGCACCCGCAGGACCTTTTTCCTTTACTTACAGAAATTCAACTCTGTTTTCTGAACTGCAAAATGCCGAGGTCCATATTTGACAGTTTCTCCTAAAGGAGGGGGGCAGAGGGGTAACGCTGTACTGGTAGTAGTATTGTACTGTCAATAATTGGCTTCACGGTACAGCAACATCTGCATCCCCGGGCGCTTATAAGCTGCCCCCTGTTCACTTTGGTGATGGGTTAGAAGCAGAGGTCACATTTGGTTGTGTGCTGTGTCACAATGACAAATAATTCACTTTCACTTTTATCCTTTTAGAAAAATGTTTTTCAACATAGAGTGTACAAGGATAAAGAAAAAAGAGACAAAACAAATTTCCTTCATTTTTAAGAATTCTATTTGTGCTGCACCAAACCAAATATGAGTCACACTTTTTACAGACACTTGCCATAATAGGTGATGTCACTTAAGTACAAAGACTCAGCTTTGAAGACTTTGAAGACTTGGAAGCATGTGAAGTGCTTGTAAAGATAGGAAGGAGCACACAAGGTCTATAAACCAGACTGTTTACAAGATTTGAGTGGAAGTTAAATCTCATTTTATTCCAAGTTAATGATAGAAATTCAGTAACAGCTAAGTAAACAACTTCCGGACGTCGCAGGTACCACTGCACATGATTAATAACCGAACAAAATCAACACATGAGAACACCGACTGTCAATAAATTAATTCAAGCAGAAGTCAGTATAACTACTTTGTTGTTGTTTACTGCTGTAATGCCTTCAGTGGAAGTGGAAGGCCGTGATGCAACATGATGGAACATGAACATGATGAAAAAGCATTCATTAGCATTAAATACTAATCTGGCATTGTGGTTTTCTCAGTCTTCAGTTAACCTTCCTTGACATCAGTGCACACAAAGAGATTAACAGTTAACAGCTTCCGTGAGGTGGGACCTAAAGTGTACTGCTGGTGAACTGACTAAAAGTCCTGTAAGACCTGTTGAAAAATGTCTTGTGTCCACTACAAGTTTTCCTCCCAACTGGAATACAACACAGTCAGGTTCAGTGGGCTGCACATCACACTCTGCGAGCTTAAAAAGCAGATCATGGCACAGGAGCGCCTAAAGGCCACAAACTGTGACCTGCAGATCACTAATGCTCAGACTGGAGAAGGTACATCCACAGATGACACTCACATATATCCACTTACAGACTCTTTATCTTTGTGGTTTCCAAGTTGGCACTGAACCGTCTTACTATTTACATATCCCTGTACAGAATACACCAGCAACGATACACACATCCCCAAACACTCGTCTGTGATTGTCCGTCGAACTCCTACTGTGGAACAGAAACGCAACAGAACATCTTCAAATCTGTATGTATTCAATTTCAGTTGACCTGTGTTGGAAAGCAAATATATATAATCACAATGTTTGAGTTTACAATTGTTTTTTAAGATACATTTTTATTGAAAAGGTGAAACATTCATAAATTGTTACCTGTTATGTTGGTAAATTGTGCTTTTTCTTTATTTTTCACCACAGAGGTCGTTCATACATGACTGTAGTGGGATCTTCTAAAACAGTATGTCAAATCCTGTCTTCTATAATTGGTTCAGTCTTAGTCCAGAATCTATAAAGGGCACATAAAAACACTTCCTCCCGACATTTGACACAAAGTCACTGCACTCATTTATTTTGAACGTAGTTTTTTGTGAATGTGATGAATGTGATAATCATCAAACCTTACTACTAGTAGGCTAATTAGGCTAATCCAAACAACATTGGACTCAAACACGTTTGCAAAAAGGAAATTAAAAAGCCACATCTATTTCCCTCAGAAATCCCTGCTCTCTTGATAAATTCTTTAAATTCAACAGAACAGGAAACTCAGCTTTAATCTCTGAAAAAACACAATTTTTTTCAGATGACTCCCCTTTCACACACACACGCACACACACACACCTTATTTTTCTTGTCTTAAAATTCAGATTTTTTTAAAAGTTTTTAAAATATTTGGATTCTGTTTTTAATTTAGCATGAGATGTGAAAATGTACCGCAAACACCAACTAAAGGTTGCCTTATGGCAATAACGTACTGCACTGACAACATTATTTTCCAGGAGGGAGGCAGACACACACACACACTCACACACACACACACACACACACACACACACAGTCACAGTGTCCACAATAGCTGACCTATCTAAAGCCATAGTGTGGAACCATTATCATGTTGGATTATGAATGCTTAATGTCTTTTTATTCACTGTTCCGCTGGTGTTCTTTCAGACTTATTCTTCTGCCTCTGTGTCACTAGTCAACCTCATAAAGGTAATGTTTCATTCAACATATATTGTCTACTTATTTTTTGTATAGTATTCTTGTATCCTTTGTTACTGTTTGTCAGGCAACTAACATGGAGGATGCAACAGAGGAAGAAAAGATCAAAGCCCGAATGTATCAATCCACACTTCAGTACGACCCCAAACAGTCAGTATGATAAAAAAAAAAATACCACATCTCTACTGCAGTTGAGTCTGTTCTATGGAAGTCAGTTTATATCTCCAGTAAAATTGAAAAATAACTTATCTTCGTAGTTACTCTAAGAAGGCAGTTGGAGCTCCACCTGCTAACTACACCTGTTTCCGCTGTCTGAAGCCAGGTCACTACATTCGACAGTGCCCACTGCTAATGGTATTTCTGCATGTATTTACAGTTACACTGAACTATACGATTGTATAATCTAAAAATATATATATATAATGTATGTACAATGTATATATAATAGTGTTCTGGTTTCATTTTAGTCACACAATTTGCTTACTAAGTACCAAACCTTGGCTCATTTAGTTGAACACACGTCATCAGTGCCTCTGAATCTTACTTACTTATATGATTTTATAGCCATCTACTGCCACCTAGTGGAACAATTTAATTGTTCTGCCTTCCACAACCTATTTACAGTGAACAATAGTTTTCAAACTCAACTAAGTCGGATTAGATAATTTTTCCACTGCACACCAGATGATCTCTCATGGCACAGTGGTTTGGAATCACCGTATTAGAGAACAATTTAGATTTGGATACTATGACTTAGAGCTTTGGCCATTGGGTAGTTAAACCTAATTATCATATTAGTGACACTAGTCAAATGTTCAATTTGATCTCTGAGCTTAGCATTTTATTGGTTATGAAAGATGACAGGTTTCTCTGCCAATTACTGTACTAACTAATAATTATTGTCAGAAAAAAAATTAATAAAGAAAGAAGACCCAAACAGGAGCCAGAGGATGAGCCTCTTGCATCTTGAACTATCTAGCAGATAATGATAATAATAATAACATTGCTTGTTAGTTCAACATTGTGTCTCATCCTGTTTTTAGTCATATTTTTTGTCATATGTGCTTCATATTTATGATTTCCAGGATATAAACATAGAGTTTTAATGTTGGTGATCATTTTGTTTTTCTTGACAGTACCCTGACAAGAGTGTAGAGTGTCATAAGGCCATAAAAACAAGTAAAGGAATTCCTCGTAGCTTCATGGTGAAAGTTGAACCAGGAACCAAAGGAGCTATGCTGACCAGTACTGGAGAATATATGATACCTGCCATTGATGCGTATGATTCCTACACTCTTGTACAGTACACCAACTTTCCTACTCATGTAGGAGAAAGAATATACTGATCACGATAGACGATGTCTGCAACCTTGTTTATATAAGACAATTAACCACAAGAGAAAACCCATTAAGGCAAAGTTATGGAAAATAATTTGTGCCCTGAATTTGCATTATAAAGATAAACTTGCAGGAAATGAAGAAAGACCAACATGAAGATTTTCTGTTGAGTCAAGTTAATAATTAATTAATAATCGTTCATTTTCATATTATTGTATAGAGCTCTATTGAGCTCTGAAAAGTAGACTTGGTAGGTAGCTTCATTACATTTGGATTTCTAACATGATTTTTCTACTTTGTACCCACGTTAACCGTTTGTCCATTTTGAACTTTAAAACAGGGAAGCTTATGCAAAGGGAAAAAAAGAGCGCCCTCCCTTTGCTCCTGATCCGTTGTCATCAGCAGCAGCAGAAGTCGCTACTAAGGATGATCCAGATCAGATCCCAAATGAACTACTGTGTCCCATCTGTAATGACCTGATCACAGATGGGGTCCTCATTCCTTGCTGTGGGAACAGTTATTGTGATGAATGTGAGTTTGTACTCCTAATGGAACTGTACTATCAGATTGTTGTTGTTTTTATTTTTACATTGTTATGAATGTAATTTACATGTACTATCCCTAAACTTGTGAACCTGCTATTGGAGGTTGATAACAAACAAGACAACAGGTTCTTATAACGTTTTTACCAATGAACTGAATCCAATGGTGTTTCTGGACCAGGGAGTCATAGGCTCCAGGGTTGACTATGATAGACCGAAAAGAGTTGGCACATCTGAAGAAGCTGATATCGTATATTTTTGTTACTGAAATATTTTATCGTTCATTTAATTTGTTATTTATGTCTTTTTTTTTTTTTTTTTATGTCTTACATTTTCACTTATCCGTTTTTCAGGTATCCGGAACAATTTGTTGGACTCAGAAGAACACATCTGTTTATCCTGTCAACAATCTGTTTCACCTGATGATCTCGTTACCAACAAATTTCTGCGACAGGTTGAACATGTATATGACTTTGGTTCATAATCTTTGCACTGAGCTGTTAAATGGGTCGTTTGAGGAACATGTCTTGTGCTTGTTTTTTGTAGGCTGTGGACAACTTCAAAAACAGCACAGGTTACACTAAACACACGATCAAGAAGTTTCTTACAAAACCACAGCACCCTCTGGTGGCTGATGTAACAGTTCCTCACACTACAGACAAAGACACAGCTCCATCTCCACCACTGATCCAATTTGCTTCAACTGATATTCCTGTGGTTTCCGGAACTAATCCTACAGAAGGATTAACTACTGATTCTGATTTGGCGTCCACTCCTTTGGCTGCTTCAACATCTAGTACGGGTGAATTTCTTTTGACTACCCCGGCTGATCCACTATCTAACCCTACTGCAGCTTTAACATTTAAACCTGCTAATACTACAGCAGCAAATCCGGAATCTTTTGCTCCTTTTCACCCTTCATCTACCGCCGTGGGAGGTGAAGAGGGTGCTGCATCCACACAACCTGTGCCATCGTTTGACCACCATACTGTCTGTTCGACCACACAGGATGAAGCTCCTCCACTTGGGTAAGATCAGACTAAGATGATGAGAGCAAAAACTTAGAGCCACAAACTCAACAAAGAATGTTTGACTTGCATCTGTTTGTTTTTTAGTGATATTAAATATTTGAAAGAAGTTCCAGGTCTTTTCTCAGACACTGGCTCACAGGTGAGTTACATGACCTACCTATTAGTTATTTAAAACTGGATAAAAGTTACTAAACTGCCTGCATGTTGGGAGATAAAGGTGGTCCTGTGTATATACATTTGTTTTATCAGTGTTATAAACTGGATATGGCATTCTCTTGAATCTTAGTTGTCTCACTACTCTCTAGGGTTGTCCTTTAACTGTGATTGGTCACCCAACATCTCCAAAGCTGCTTCCTTCACCAGGTCAGAGGTTCTGTTTAGATGTTTCAATCTCCAATGCATCTGACAAAAAGACATTAAAGCTCCTGCATTTACAGATTTCTACTTAACTTTAGGTCACGAATCAAGACCACAGCAGTCTCACAGAGGTAGAGGGAGACCATGGAAGAGGTTGGATTATTGAGATTCCTTTTCTTAGCTGCTATGATATATTTTGATTTGAGGTGATCTTCATTGTCACTCCTGCCTTCCTCTTTGTATTTCTCACAAGGGTTTCTCTGCTTTGTAGTTGGTAAGGTTGTTTATAGTGATCAACTGAAACTGACACTGTCTCCCCTCGACCCAGGTCCTACAAAGGTAGAGAACGTCACCCCTCCTCTTACCACCACACAGCTCTAACTCCTGCACCACCTCCTCCCACTCCTTCAGTGTACTCTGCCTCTGTGTACCCTCCCCCACAGCAGACCTACCCTCCTCCCTATACTTTGGGCCCAAGTCCTATCCCTCCTCCCACTCTGGGCTACCAGCCTCCACCATTTTATCCACACGGTCCTCCAGGGTTCATGTCTAACTGGGTTGCCCCCAGCAGTTGTCCACTTGTAGCACATCCAGCCCATTCCCTCTCTCGACCTCCACCCTTTGAGGATGTTTTTTATAGACAGCAAGACAGACAAGACCGGTGAGTCTCTTTGTCCTGATTTCTTTTTTTACAGCAGCCACTGATTTACTCATTCTTGTTTCTACATCCCCAGTGGAATATCCAAAGGAGATGAATTTGTCATTGACTACCATAAAGAACTTATGGAGTACAGGATCACACAAACCAGAGGAGACCCTTGTTTCAGGTAACTCAGACCACTAGTAACAAAGCACGAGCATGGATCTTTGGTCACTCATATACTATCTAACTGCCATAAAGATGTGTTACTTCGTCTTAAATACCAAAATGAAAGAAAATCAACAAATAATGACCTGAAACACCAGTCTTCCAATGAAACAATTGGCCCAAAATCCTGTGAACACCAAAGTTCTAGAAACCCTTAAAAATGCTGGTAGACTTTGTGCTCAGTTTTCTTTTTTCTTTTTTTTGTGGTCCAGGTTGGACAGTTTCTCACAGGATCATGGTCCTTCTAATGGATTTTCAACAACAAGATGCTACAGTTCCAGGTCATATGGATCCAGGCATGCTGACTTGCCGCAATCTTTTGCCTCTTACTCAGTTGGAGGCTGGGAGAAAACTGAGGGAGGTAAAAGATACCACTCCAAGTCACGCTCGCCTGTTAGACAAACTTCTCATCAGTGGGAGGCAGAGCAGTACGGTTCTAGGAGACCAGATCTTAGAAGAGAGGGAAACTGGGAGAGAGACAGGTATAACCAATGGAAAGTGGAGTACGAAGACTGGTACCAACAATACTATAAAGACTATGAGAGCCAAGAGCCTTCACCACATCATAGAAAAAAGAGCAGAGACAAGAAGGAGAGAACCTCCCTGGTTTCAAAATCTCACTTCACCCAGAAGAGAAAAAAAAGAAGTGTTAAACGAGACAAAGGTCTTCTCTTTCAGAATCTTAGCTCCTCTTCCTCCTCAGGGACTAAGTCAAGTAAAAAAGTCATGAAAAAAAAAATTAAAACGAAAGCTAAATTAATGAATAACACCACTTCACTGAATAAAACACCTTCCATCACTTCGACACCTTTAACTGACACTGAAGTCACCAAAACCTTGGCTCCGCAAAATCTTCCTGCACCTGTCCAACCCAGAACCTCAACTAAGGCTACGTCAAAGACTCAGTCTGACGAGACCAGAAAGGAAAAATGCAGCAAGGTAAAAGCCAGACATGAGAAGACGAAGAGTGAACAGAAGGACAAGAGCAGTGTAGGAGACTTTATTAAAAAGAAAGACTTTTCATCCTCCTCCTCCTCCACTTCCATTGGTAGACCTTTAAAAACTATTACCGTTAAACCAAAGGAAGCTAGAAGCTCAAAAAAATTTAAACGATCTACCATTAAGCCTACTCTTGGTAAAACACAGTCTCCCCAAAATCATTTTGTTCATGGAGGACCTCAATGTGGCCAGGACATCAGGGGAAATACTGCTGGTCTCCTACCAGTGACCCATCAACATGAGCCTCCACCTCTTCAGCTTACTCACCCAGCAGAGCATCAGAAAAGAGTAGGAGAAGAAAACCACTCTTTGACTGGACGTCCTATAAAAAGGAAGAGAACTGAAGGTGACGTTTCAGCTCAGCCTCAACCCCAGATTCGCTGTCTCTCAGTGTCCACCGATGAGTCCGGTTTTGCTCCGCAGTTGGGAACTGATGAAAAGGGCCAGGGAGACCCAGTCTGAGAAACAGACATATGTGTGACATAATGGTAAGTGTTATAAAATAAATATTAATAACCAGCTTAATAACATTTCTAAAAGTAGCTGTGCTCATCTCTGAAAACCCTTCTAATGGGGTGTATTTAATTAACAAATGATCATTTTTGTCAAATTACATCAGCTATTTCTCAAGAGGTTGAGTTATGCATTCATCCTTAATTGTTCCCTTTCTACTGTATGATTCCTTTCAGGATCATGGGGGGACGGGAGGGATTAAATCAATTGCAGCAGCCATCAGGTGAGGGCTGGCTACAACCTGGACATTTGAGGATTCGATTGCACACAAATCTGAATAGCGCTGAGACCCTGTGTCAGCCAGAGAACCAAAAGGTTTTGAGAGGACAGCAGTCTCTTCTAACTGTTCTGTTCTAAATACAGCAGAGGCCCTTTCCACAAGACAGCGGTCATGAGAGGTAGAACAGGACCTGAAGAGCTCTGGACTACTACAGGAAAGGAGGCCAATCAGAATAGGAGTCATAAATGGATGGAGGTTCAGAATGAGACAGCTCGATTAGGCGTTAGAGAAGACTGTTTATTCAACGAACAGAGATATTACATCTGAGTTCAACGCAATTCATTTTCTTGATCCGACACAAAGGTTATTGTCTGGACAGACCCAAAGATTCTGTTTTAAATGTAGACAACCAAAGTTTTTTTTTTAACATGCACAGACAATCATCATTAAACAGACCTATGTATTAAACAAGTGTACACTGATCAAAAACCCAGACAACCTTACCCAGACTTTAGTTCAGAACAAAGTTTGGTCCAGAGAGACATTATGGAGTGGCCAGGGAGAATATTCCTGTGGCATGAATTGCTTTAGTAAACCGATAGACTGTTTATCATACACATTTTTGGTTGCAACAGGAAAGGATCACAGAAGCCACAGTTCCATCATTTTTTTTGTCTTTTATTTATTTATAATTAAAAATATTTTGTTATTCAAGTGAACTTGAAATATGAGCTAAAATCTTTCATTTGTCATTAACATAACAACTACACACAATTATCAATTGACAGACAAAGACTTCTCACCATATCCCCTGCATGGCCCTTTTTCAAATCTTAAATTTAACTTCTCTGTGGTCTTCCTCTTCCCTCTCAGCTCCAACTCTGATATCCATTGCTCAAAATATCCACCTCTAACTGTGTGAATGATTCAAGGCTTTTACTGGATATAAAAGTATAAGAATTTTATATGTATATATACAGTATATGCATCATCAGTATATACAACAATAAAAAGTTCAAGAATTAGTCAAAGACAAAGAAAATGGTCCATCAATCACACTTTAAACCTAGAGAGTTGATATCGTAACTATGTAAGCGCCCCGTCTATTTTTAATACAGATCTCTTGACACATTTATTTAGTGGTTTCAAATGAAAGACTAATAATTAATGGAGAAAATGACGTTCAGTTGATTTCTGAGGTATATAGATTTTATTTATTCTCTGATTTTGTAATAAATTATTTTTTTATCATAAAACCAAAAGTAAAGTTCACAGGCATAACAAAAGAAACACCAATCATGTGTTTGTCATTTTGTAGCAACGTCTTCTCTCTCTTTCCATAGATTCCCAGCAATTATTCCAAAAAACAGCAGAAGACCAAGGTTTCTGTTGGAGGCAAAATTCTTCCAGCAGTCACCTGCGTCATTGATGTTCACATTGTAGATCTGAGAAGGAAATGTGTCAGCAAAAAAAAGAATGACATTAGTATTGATGTGTTTACAATGCACTCACCTGGTGCAATAAATGAAGCCCCATTGCACACAAAGCAGAGTAGTAGGGCAGAGTCTGCTCAGCGTTGACTCCTGTCACAACCAGTCCAGACATCATCAAAGCTGCAAAGACACTAAGCCATTCTTTGGTGTGTTCTTGGAACTTTAATGCTGTGGATTTAACTCCGACCCTGATGTCGTCATCTTTGTCCTGGGTAAGAGCGAGTACAGGAAATCAAAAGGTAAATAATAATTGTTGAGTTGCATAAAAAGTTGGAGATAAAAACAATACAGGATAGGAAGTAGGAAACTGGGGAAAAAGACATAACAAGGAGAGATTCAAGGAAAGTAGAAAAAGGGAAGGAGAAAAAAAAGAACACTAAGCAATGGTAGTAAAGAATGTGAGAAAATAAACTAGGTTTCTTTTGCTTTTCTAAGAAAAAGAATGGAAGCAAAGCATGCTTCACTCCACCTGATGAGCATAAATTGTGTCATATATTAAAGTCCACATGACTCCTGAGAAATACAGCGGGAGACAAACAGTCCAATCACAGGATCCCATCACAGCGGAGTAGCCCAACAGCGCTCCCCAGTTGAAAGTGAGCCCTGGACAGGAGGAAGTCAAAGTTAACAGAAAAAACAAGGGCATAAAAATATGTCATTGTTTGTATTATTTGATATAATATTATCATCTAGGGATGTCTGATATTCACTTTTTGCCAATAACCAATATGCTGATATTGTCCAAACACAACTTCAATATAGGCTTTGTAATATCTGTACAAAGCACTGTATGAGTACGAGATTAATTAAATGAGCTGCAATGCTGCCATCTAGTGACTTTAATATACAGCTGTTTATCCACAAAACTATTTTTAGGGCACACATCATTTGCAGAAACCCAGGGATTGTGTTATCGGGTTTTCATTATCGGAAGAAAAAACTGATATCAATTCTTCTTACAGGTATTACATAATATGCTAATATCAGTACCTAGAACAAACTGCGGCCAGTATGTGATTCTCTTCATGAGCGGATATGTCACCACCAGAGACAGAGAAGCTGCACCCAGAGTGATGCTAAGAGAACACATAGACAACAAGAAGTGACCCGACCACAAATTACCAGAACTAGTTAAAAGTGTCATTAAACATACACACTACTACCTGTAATAGTTCAAACAGAGCAGAATCCCTAGTGAGAGAGAAAGTTGCCCTGCCAGAAAGAAGAGAGCCTGCATCTGAGAAATTTCTCCAGAAGCGATGGGACGAGTCACCGTCCTGGAAACCTGCACATGATAATCAACATCATCACTGTCATTGTCAGTGTGCCTTTGAACTGTGTGATCTCAAACAATACCAATGTGTTGAAAACTGATTTTCCTATTGAGCTTAAGTCAGAACACTTTAAAGACAAATATTAAAAAGCAACACCTTGTGATGAAATATACTGTATAACAGTCTTTGAACACTGGTATACATGCTGGTAAATTTGAGAACTTAAAAAGGTGAAAAAGGGATTCCTTAAAATAGGTTACATAATAGTTAACACAAACGTTAACATCAATAAAATCTGACAAATTTTCAATTAAGGACAATATTTGATGTTTGTTTGCAAGTGTAAAGTTTCTACTATGAAAATGTATACACAAAGCATTAGTGGAAATGCACAAAACAGATTACTTTCTTACAAAACCCAGTAGACTTGACAATTCATGTTTAATTACCTGTTTGTCAAAGTCTTTGTCCCACATGTCATTGATGGTGCAGCCAGCTCCTCTCATCAGAACAGCACCTGCTCCAAACAGAGCCAACATTCCAATGTCAGGAAGACAGCCAGGATTAGAGGCCAGAGCAATGCTCCATGTACAAGGAAGGTAGAGCAACCATGTTCCTGTCATGCCAAAAAAACAGGTACAGCAGAGGGTCAAGACTAAGCAGCAAGATTGTAATTGAATGCCTTTATCTGCTCAATATGACAGGAATAAAAACAAATCTCTTAAAATTTAAAAAAATAGTTTAATTAGCAAAATAAGAACAAAGGAGGAACGAACACGGTATATACAAATGCATCCATTCTTACTGGCATCATTATACAGTGCATAATAGAAATACAAACCTATAGGTTTGTCCAGTCGCATCAATCTTAGATACGGACGAACTTTCCCAGGAGCGAAATTTACAACATCAGCTGCTGACAACCCGAACGACCTTCTGACTGGAGCATAACTTAAGTGTGGGTTACTTGGCCTTTTTGTGTCACTCTGACCAATACGCTGGGTCAGACAGCGAAGAGATGAGCAAAATAAACCATGTTGGATCCTACGCAGGGTGATCGTGGTCAGTCTTAGTACTAACATCATGGAATTACCTGGGGTCGAAGGGTTCAGAGGTATGTCGAAATAGTGGATTTGGCTAATTTTAGTCCACAACAACACAGCGATTAGACAAATGCAGCTAGATATTTATCAGTAAGTCGGGTAATATAAAAGTTCATATAGTAACACGTTAAGTTTAATAAAGTTAGAGAACAAATGTAAAATAACTGATCCCTACCCGATTGTAAGAAACTTTAGTTATAGTATATAATCATTATTCGACGTGAGTCAGTTTAGGCTTCCCATTGTGATTTCCACGGAGTCAATGAGTCAGCTTACGAGAAAAGTTGTAGCTCCCAAGCTTCCCGAAACCTTCGTTTAAAATTATTGTACAAACAAACTGTTTAATGGAACACTGAAAACCTTAGTTCATCCCATCTGACATAAGATATTCTATATTAATCTAAGTTTTGAGCTAAATGGAACGTACAGCATGGCGCCTGGTTTCCTGTTATTGTCCGCCCGAAAAGGGTTCCGGAGGAAACAGTTTCGAGATTCTGAATTTTATTTTCTTTGACATCTTTAGTTATTTTATTTTAGTATTATTGACCACATACTTGTACATTTAATAAATATATAAATAACCTTTGTGTCGGATCAAATATTTATTTAAGAAATAATTAGCATATATTAAAACTGACGTAAAAAAACGTAATAAAAACGGAAGCCTTCTGCACAGGAAGTAGATGGAGTCGCAGTCGCGGGAAAAATGGCGGAGTCGTGCCATGTCTTGTAGTTAGTGGCGCCATTGACGGAAAAAGCCGTTTAATCTGCTCAGGAACCAGGCTCTGCCGTATGAAGATCCGTTTAGTAGAACATTTTGATGAAGTGAGTGACTTTCATGTGGACGTGTCTCTTTTTCTACGCATGCTTGTGTGTGTTTTGTGTCGGTATTTAGTGCTTTTCTTTTGGACTATAAGGAAAATGTTTGTTACGCGTTGCTGAGGGCATATATTTTTAAAACGTAAACTTAATAACGTGTAAATAAAAGTTTTACTCTTTACGCTTTTTGGTAGAATCATTCCTAGTCTTCTTGGTTAAGTTTACTTTGATTTATTCAGCCGGTGTGTAATTTATTGTTCGTAGTTGTAATTTACATCTATGTTAAATCTGCTTTTTACCATTGGTTGTATATTTAAAAAAACACAAATATTACGATAGAAACACTCTTAATGCTTTTGTTTTATATATTTACAGCTGTTTTCTGGAACAGACCGCGAGATACGTGGAGATACAGGTACGTTGTGTTATTTCTCTCTAAATAATAACAAGGTCAGACTGTTCACTGTTTCTGATTAGTGAGGACCTGCAGGCCTAGAGAAAATTTATAACGAGATCCAGGTCAATGTCTTTGGATGTTGATCTGTTCATGTTGAGTCTATGTAAAGTTTCTGTGATTATAATTGTTCAAAACATGTGTTGTTTCCCTCTTTAAGATTGGACTGTAACAGTACAGAGAAGACCTTGTTATCGCTTAAATATCACATTTGCTTTGTTGTGTGTTTGATAACTTCTCACACCACATTTATTTATTAGATTTGGCCCTTATTTCTCCTCTGGCTACATGATGTACAGTCACCTTGATGCTAAACGACCTAGCCTTAACGTTTGTAACCACCGCAACAGTGTTGCTCATTCGCAACAGACACTCAACAAAGACACTCGTTTCTCAGATCAGCCTGCAGAACATACAGTAATCGGAGACATTAATGTTAAAAGACATCCAAAGACGACTGACCAAATCGATTCTGAAGCTAAACAAATGGACTCAAAGAAGTACATGGTGCCAGTACAAACGATCACCAAATTAATTTCCCCATTGCCAGATGAAAAGTCATCAATGACTTCTGGTCAGTGTTCAGAAATGGCCATAGAAACCCTAATCTTGCAAAAATCCAACTGCAGTCTCAACAGCAGTGGTGTGTTAAAAGTTACTGCAAAGTCCATGATTGACATCACTGATGAGTCTTCTTACAGCTCTCAATTGTACAGTAACCTTTTAATGAAAGACCTAAGACCAGTTAAATCTGAGAACCATATCAGAAACACTACTGATGTAAATAGCATTAAAAGAAGTTGCAGCCAATATTTTATAAATGTTTTGTTTGTACACTTGTAACCGATGAATGTTCTATCTTGAAAGACCAGAGAATCATCCAGAATATAACCTGGATAATCCCCTGATTTTTTTTCAGATATTCAGTACCATTACAGGTAAAAGCAGAGGAAAACAAGCAAAGCATTAAAATGCCTCAAGAGATGTCACCAAAAAAACCAACAACTCAGTCCAATGAATTTCTAGATACATCTTTGCATCCGGCCCCTACCGATAAGAAAGCTCACACTTTTTCTTATCACTGCACCAAGTGCTCATTTAGCCATAAATCTGCTGTTGCTCTGCACGTTCATTATCAGAAAAAACATCCAGATGAAGCCATCACTATTAACAAATTGAAACAGTCTGGATTAGCTGCAACTGCATCACAAATATCACCTGCAACAGCCAAACCAGACACACCAAAGGATGTGTCTGAATCGCTTGTAAAGGTAACAGAAAACCTGACACCTAGGAAGAGTGGCTGTGATTTGTCCACTGGAAGAAAAGACACCTCCTCGCAGACACGTCAGAGGGTTTTGATGTCTTTGATGAAACTGAAAGGCACATTGGTTGCTTGCAAGAGACCAGGATCTTCCACGAGTAAGGAACTTCGATTAGAGGATAAGAGAGAAAAAGAAACGAACAACAGTGAACACGAACTGGCGGAAATAACAAATGACTCTGTCCCTAATTCCCCTGTTGAAATATTTTCATGCCAGGTTTGCCCTTACTCCAGTGCCAATGTCACGAATGTTGTGACTCATTATAATACAGAACACACTATGCTGGGACTCACTACTGCGGAGGAAGTTGTGTGGTACAACACAAAAATTCAGAAGAAGGAACCTGAGGCTGGAGCATTGGCACATTCTAATATAGAAGAATGTCAGACAAATCCGACTGCAATTTCTAAAAATGAAGAAGCATTTAGTCTGTATGACTGTCCTGAAAACCTGTTTTACTGCCAGAAGTGCAACTTTGCTAATGTATCACTTAAGGGGGTAATAAACCATCAGTCTGTTGCCCACAAGGTAAAGACCAGCAGACGTGAGTGCATCATTGCATATACAGTTGAGATTCGTGATGAAATCAAAAAATTAAAATCTCTAACCAAAGATTCACCTTTACCATCCTATCTTCCACCTCCTCTGATAAATTTAGGAGATGAAACTAAACTCTTCTGCCACATCTGTAACTTTAGATCAATATCTATGTCAAATGTTCTTAGACACTACTATTCAAGACACCCAAATCATTTGGCAAATACCAACCAAGTCATTGAATACACCGCCAGTATTATCCAACAGCCACCGACTAAACAGAAAAATTATGCAGTTGAGAAGAAACAAAGAAAACAGGTGAAGAAACACAAATTGTTTCAACAGGACTTGCCATCGAAGCTAACTGCTGTGGAGCAAGCAAAAACCTTTGAGTGCTACCGATGCAAGCTAAAGTTTCAAGGATTGCCCAACCTAAGGAAGCACATGTGGACAGATCACCACTCTAACCGCCCTAACATTGAACTGCTTGGTTTATGTTTCAGAAAAGGATTGTTGGAACCAGGTTATTACTGCAACAAATGTGGGTTCTCACACACAAGAGCAGAAGTGGTCCTTGAACACTTCAAAAAGCAGCATCCTAAAGCGGCAATGACACTCCAGTTTGTTACCACCAAGTTATATATTGGGCGAGAACTGTTACCTAATAAAAGTGAGAAGAAACGAACAAAGAATGTAACTGTTGCTGACGACTACAAGACTGCCAACCTCGGGAATCTCTCCCCCGAAGCCGGGAAGTATTCATGCAGATATTGTTCATTTAATGGTGACTCTTTGTCAAGTATCACACATCACTTCTGCACTGTTCGTCCCAAAACCCCTGAAAACCCAGTCCCAAATGTCTCCCCTAGCAAGGAATCTGTCACAAACCTGCACATTGCAAATGACCACCAAGACACGACAGAGCTTGGTTTTGAGTCCTACCAGGTGCCAATTGAGTTTGGAAGTCCATCAGAATCTTCTGAAGAAGGAATGAAGAATGTGAAGTGTCTGTATTGTCCTGCAAAGTTCGCAAGTCAACGAGGCCTTAACACTCATTGTGGTTTGCTACACCAGGAAATAGCAGTTCTAACCCAAATTAAGGTCTATGTCTGTTCGCACTGCACCTATGTCAACGCCACTTCCCAGGGTATTTTGACCCACTGTCAAATGAAACATCCAGACTCTGAGTCCTGGTGTGAAAATGTTTATTTAAATGAAGTGCACGTTCGCGGCTGGGAAGGTGATGGAAAACCATTAAGAGGCTACATGTGTAAACAGTGCCCTCGGATCTTTGTGTCACAGGAGAGGATGATTAGACACAGCACATTTGAGTGCTCGAAGCGCAAGGGGTTGCAGAAAGTTCTGTCTGGAAAAAAAGTCAACCTCAGCTCTTTGTCTAAAGCTTCACTTCTATGTAGGAAAAAGTATGAAAAATACAGGTGTAAACACTGTAACGTTACCTTTAACACCAAGTTTGCATTAAGCAATCACCTGCAGATTGAACATAAAGAGGAGTGCTTGTACCAGTGTGCCCTCTGTGCCTTTTCCTATAGCGAAAAGAAGAAGTTGGGAAGCCATTACTCCACGTCACATGGACAGGAAGCCTTTGTCAAATACTTCCAAACTATGTACCAGCAGGACACAGAGTCAGCACCAAATTCCTCTGATAGACCTTCATTTCAGCAACTAGCAGAACCATATTCTCTGTCTGCAATGGCAGATGACTGCAAACCCTTGGTTTTTATGTGTCCACGCTGTCCATACATAAACACTAGTTGTCACGGTACTTTAACTCACTGCCAGATGAAGCACCCAAAACTTGTCGTCCGAGCTGACAAGCTGAGCACTCAGCATGTCCTCAGGAGTAGCATGTTTAAATGTCAAAATGTGAGTCGTTCTACTGGACAGGGCTACATGTGTTACATATGTCCACTGATTTTCAAGTCACACCTCCATCTGAAAAAGCATCACCAAAATGATCATTCTTCGCACCAAGATAACATTTCAAATATTGCTGATGCCCAAGATTTAGGTCAAGGCTGCGCTTCTAAGTCCAACGTTGTGGAAGAACACCTTAGGAATCATCCAGTTGCTTTGGGAGCAGGCCCCGTGAAGGAACGGCACTTTAAGTGTCGCCTGTGCACCTATAAAGGACTTCAGCGGCAAAACCTGCAGCATCACTATAGAAAAGTACACAAGCTGAACACAGCCAGTGCATACAAGCTAATGGACAAGTACAACGTACGACAAAGGAACTTCCAAGATTTAGGAGATGAAGATGGGGCCTTTAAATGTAAGCTGTGTCCAAACATAGCATTCACCTTGC